TTTCGTTGAGCTGCAATCTTTCATTCAGCTGTCGGGCACTCAGGATAAGTGCCCCCGAAAGCTGAGCAAGCGAATTTTCGGGGGTTGCAGCGTCTTAGCTGCAACCCTGGCACGAGTAATACAAACGACATCCTATGTGGCAACCAATAAACTTAAACCCAATAAACTTAAACTCAATAAACGCAATCAGAAACCCAATGCCTATTCCTCCTCCATTGCCGGGTGGCCGCGACAATGAGTGCCCCTGAAAACTGAGCCAGCGAATTTTCGCGGGTTGCAGCGCCCTAGCTGCAACTTTGGCACGAGTACCCCAGTCCCCTGTGGCTGCACTCAAATCCCCTGACTGTCCACGCTGTCAGTGGTCTAACCTAGCTACGAGCACCACCATCGACCACTCTATTCTCCATGGTGGCAAAGGTGTAGGGCCATACTCTCACCCACTGCTCTCTACCCCGGCTAACACTTGCCTCCTAGCCTAGTTATCGGCGCAACCAACGGCCGCTTCGTCGAAGCCTTTGCAAAAGTCAAAGCTCTGCACGCGAAAAACAACTTCTCGCTCTCACTTCTCCTCGGTGACCTATTCTCAGACCCAAGCCAGATCACCCCCGAGGAGACAGAGAACATAGAACGCCTACTCCATGGCGAGATACGTGTTCCATTACCAATCTACTTCGGCCTGGGACGGTACTCGCTTCCTGCACCCGTCCGTGAAAAGATCAATTCATCCGGCGAAGTCTGCGATAACCTTTTCTTTCTTGGAAAGAAGACTGTGCTGAGTACGTCCGACGGCATACGGATTGTTGCGCTGGGCGGGAGGTTGTATGCTGAACACGCAACCGGGGGGGCGGGGGGCGTCCGGGAGGAAACGTTGCCGTTTTACTCGGAGAAGGACGCGAAGGGATTGAAGGGAGCTAATCACGCAGACTTACTGCTTACTTACGAGTGGCCGGAAGGGGTGGGGAGCCGTTCCACGCTCGTATCGTCGGGCGTGAAAGGAACGGGCGTGATTGCAGAATTGGCAGCGGCACTGAGGCCTAGGTATCACTTTTCTGCTGGGGGAGAGGTGTTTTGGGAGAGGGAGCCGTATCTGAACAAGGCGAGGTCGGATGAGGGGGGATCTGATACTAAGATCACGAGGTTCCTTGGGGTTGCGGATTGGGGGAATGAGGCGAAGGCTAAGGCGTTGTATGCTTTCTCAATCAACCTTAAGGATTCAAATATTGCAGTTCCTGCCTCCGCTACCGAATGTCCGTATGGAGGGGACAGGGACAAGAAAAGACCGAGACAAAATTCAAATAGCGGAGCGAGCTTTTTCTGGGGAGATCACACAGGTGGTCCACAGGATCGGGACGACAGAAGCCGTAAGCGCGGGAGGGTGGGAAGAGGCGCGCGAGAAGCTAGATCTCCACCCGGACGTACGTGAACTCTCACCCCTTCCAACGGAACCTCAGCTAACCTGCCGCCAGCTGAATCCTGTTTCTTCTGCCTGAGCTACCCGCAGCTCGAGAAGCACTTGATAGTCTCGATCGGTAATGAGGCATACGTAACCACTGCCAAAGGCCCATTAACAAACTCCGCCACCAACCCCTCTACACTTCCGTTTTCCTCTCATGTCCTGATAATACCCCTAACCCACACGCCAACCATAGCCGCCATTGACGATGAAGACTCACGAAAGTCCACAATCGAAGAAATGACAAACTACCGTCTAGCGGTAGAGCAAATGCTCAAAAGTCGCAACTGCGGCGCAGTGACCTTCGAGGTATCTCGTGCCAATGGTGTGCACTCTCATTGGCAATTAATCCCTGTGCCCGATGATAAGTTGGCGGCTGTGGAAGAAGCTTTTAAGAGCGAGGCCAAGGCCGACAAACTTGGAGAGTTTGGAAGGAGAAGGGCAGACGCCGACAACAAGGGGGATTATTTCCGGGCATGGATATCTGGGATGGACGGGAGCCTAGTGATCAATCTCAAAGACGTTGAGTACTTTGATTTGCAGTTTGGTAAGTCTTCCACCCTATCGTAGCGCGCGCTAGGATAGAGCTAGGTGGTGTCTGACTGGCTGCATAGGCCGAAAGGTGCTGGCGAAGGTGATGGGTCTCAAAAGTGTCCATTGGAAGGACTGTATGCAGACTTTTGAGCAGGAGGTTGGGGATGCGAATGCTTTCAAGGAAGCTTTCAAGCCTTTTGACTTTAGCTTGTAATGTAACTTCATAATATGTATGTAATGTACCACCAATCATTATAATCACAATAGCCTGATGTAGATCAGCCCGGATGGCCTATCTTTCATTTACTCCAATCCCCACTTTTCACTTTCACTACACCCACCCCCCCAACCGCCCCAGGCGCACAAGCCTGAACGCCCAAAGACCCTAACCGTTTTATATAATGACCCCTGGTGTTAAGCCACAAGTTTGCACCACCGGTAGTTATCACTCGTGAAAACTCAAATGCCTTCCTCAAATGCCTTCTCGCGCCAAGGCTAGCTGGGAAAGCTTGTCTCTAGCTTGCAGGATTACCAATCGCACACAATCTATGATAGAGCATGTGAGGCATCATGACTTTGCGGTGGGCGATCAATTCAGTTCGATTCTCTGGTTCCAAAAGCGGCTGAAGCCAGAGATTTAGTATCATGTCGGTATCGTGCTAGTTTTACGAACTATGGTATTGGTAGGCCTAACTCAAATGCAACCCAATGGTAAAAGGTAAGACAGCGAGTTGCTTCTTTGGGCGTTCCGTCGGCGGTAGCTCTCCCAAAACTATGCGGATCCCCTCTGTCTTTGAAGACTAAATACCTACCGGTAATACCGGTACAGTACTTGTACCGTAGTTTCATCGTGTATTCGGAGCCAGCAATTAGTAGTAACGACGCTAGTCCTAATATATCATTCCAATAAAGATATGAAAATTGTTATTTAGGCTAGGATTCAATACGAAATTGCTTGGTTTGCTCAAGTAGATTGAAGTCGCTCCTGTTTTTTGTTTTTTTCTGGTGACCCACCAAAAAAACAAAAGGCAACTTCAACCCAGTAACATAAGGACGATATATTAAAATGTCATGAGGTCGTGATTCTGTTTTAGTGCCACCTCTGCTAGCTTTGAAAGGTCCTTTATGGTTACCCGATTCCGGATACACGATGAGAAGATACCGGTAGGTATACCGGGTCCCGGTGCTGAAAAAGCATAGCCCATTCTGGGAAGAGTCATCGCATAGAGTATGGATGGTTCGGAGGTTTTCCAGCCGGGTAACGTGGGCAGGATCACAGGGGTTTTCCCTCTGTCGGAGCCGCCAGTTGTACAAGTATCATACGCCCATGTTATGGTGCTGCAAGGCAGCAGGCATTCAGCGGGGGGGAATCTCAATAGCAAGCGGTGGGGCCAATAACCTACCTCCAACGCTTCCTTTAGTCTTGGCATTTCAATTATGATGCCCGGTTCTCTCTCTTCCTGCTTCACGACAACTACTTTTTGAATTTAACTTGTCTCTTCCACCTAACAGCCTTCAACCCGCCCACCACCTCCACCAACTGACCTTCCACCACCACCACCACCACCACAAACTCTCGCTCTCTCTGGTCCCTCATTTTCTTTTCTTTTTCCTCTCTCCCTCCCTTCCTTCCCTCCTTCTTCCTTCCTTTTCGTCTTTCCTCCACTGCTATCATCCTTCCTCACTTCACCTCCTCTGAGCGTTAGTTCACGTTCTTGGTGAATGGTCTTTTCTATTTTTTAGACTTTCCCAGAAACAAGTGCTCCTCTTGTTTGGTGGAACGGGGGTTTCTGGGGCTATCAATCTAGCATTGACTTCTAATTGAATTTCTAAATTCAGGATGAATCGCTCTCGCGGTAAAATCAGGCCGCCACGCAGGGTACCATCTATCCCATTCTACCGTCTACCATCTCATATCACGCCTTATGAAAGCTGACATTTGGGGGAAAAAAAATTAAAATGTGTAGGGGCTCGCTACGGACCATGTCGATTTTGACGAGTACTGGGAAGTCTTGGCCCAATCGCTGCGAGAGATCTACGCAAAGAACGCCTCCCACTTATCCTTCGAAGAAGTCTATAGAAACGCATATAAACTTGTCTTGAAGAAACATGGTGATCGTCTCTATGGGAATGTGAAGAAGTTGGTTGGAGAGCACTTGCAGATGGTTGCTGTTAGAGATGTTAAACCGTTGCTTCCTAGCTCCATTGTTACCGGTGACGTTTCATTTGGCACGGCAACTACCGAGAGGAGAACCGTTGGGACAAAATTCTTGGAGAGATTGAAGTTTGTTTGGGAAGATCATCAGCTTTGTATGGGCATGATGAAGGAGGTGCTAATGTATATGGTTGGTCACCTGTTTCTGGCTATTGGGCTCCAATTTTGCTGACTTTGGAGCAGGATCGAGTATTCTGCGCTGATCGTAAAATCCCTTCGATATATGTTGCTTGTATGGGGCTTTTCCGCGATCATGTTCTAAGGCATCCTGAGTACAACATTGGGAACGCTCTGAACAGTGTCATCCTGGACCAGATTAAGATGGAACGGGATGGCGATATCATCAATCGTGCTACGATTAGAGCTTGTGTATACATGCTTGAAGGTTTGTACGAAACAGAGGAGGAGCTCGAAGATCAGAAGGTGTATCTGACAAGTTTTGAAAGTACGCTCATGTCCAGAAATTTAATTTTTTTTACACCCGGCATGGTTTGCTCAGCACTAACTAAATGGGGACTACAGAGAACTTTCTCCTGGCCAGCGAGGTGTTCTACCAAAGGGAAGGAGAGCGATTGCTACGGGATTGCGATGCGACAACATACCTACGGAAGGTGGATAAACGCCTCAAGGAGGAATATTCTCGGTGCCATGATACCTTATCCATGTTGACCGAGGCAAAGATAATGAAAGTAGTTGACCAGCAACTGATTGACGCAAACATCAACGATGTCATGGAGATGGAAGGCTCAGGCCTACAGTTTATGCTAGACAATGACAGATACGAGGACTTGAAGCTTGTCTATGAGTTGATCAGCAGAGTGGATTCTGAGAAGAGGAGCCTCAAGAAAAAAATGTGTGCAAGGCTGGTGGCAATGGGTAAAGAGGTTAATCGAACTGTCTCTACACCACAGATAATTGCAGTTTCAGGTGCAGATGGTGCAGGCGAATCAAGCAAGGCGAGTGCTACGGTAGTAAGCGAAGAAAAGGTAGCAAACAACATAACACTTGTCGCTATCCGATGGGTCGATGAGGTCTTAGCACTGAAGGACAAATATGAAAACATCTGGGAGCAGTCATTTGATAAAGATAAGGGGATACAGGCTGCTATGACCAGGGCATTCACGGATTTCATCAACGATTTCGACAGATCACCAGAGTTCATCTCTCTGTTCATTGACGAAAATTTGCGCAAAGGCCTAAAGGGCAAGACAGAGACTGAAGTTGATGTCGTTCTCGATAAAGCGCTAACTCTATTCCGGTATATTTCCGATAAGGATGTCTTTGAAAGATACTATAAGAAGCATCTCTCCCGCCGTCTCCTAATGAATCGTTCGGTGTCCCACGATGCTGAGAAGCAGATGATTGGGAAATTTAAAATGGAGGTCGGTTTCGCGTTCACGGGCAAGTTCGAAGGCATGTTCAAAGACATGAATATCTCGGAGGAGATGACGAGCGAGTTCAAAAGACTGTTGCAGGAGAGCGATAACAATTACAAGAAAGGTGTTGATCTGTCCGTCCAGATTCTCACATCAACTTTCTGGCCAGTGGGTGGGGGCGGTTCAAGCGACCATCCATGTATCTATCCTCCAGAGATCAGAGCCATCAGGGATTCATTTACGAAATACTATCTGGATCGACATAGTGGGCGCAAGTTAGATTGGCGCCCTGATATGGTGTGTTTTTTCCTCTTCCTTTTCCGAGTGTATACATTAATTTACGAGATCTAATCGTGGTGACTTCTTGGAACAGGGGACAGCGGACGTCAGAGCTACTTTCAAAGGGAAGAAGCACGAATTAAATGTTACAACCTATGGCATGGTCATTCTCATGGCTTTCAGTGATCTCGCCCCCGGAAGGATACTATCCTTTGAAGTATCATCCCTGTCCCAACCCTCCTATGATTGATTATTAACGTTCAGTAGGAAATCCAGACGATCACCTCTATCCCGGAGCAGGACCTAGTGCGGAATCTCCAGGCCCTCGCAGTAGCTCCCAAAACACGTGTTCTGATTAAGAAACCAATGTCCCGAGATGTCCGATTAACCGATGTCTTTGCAGTTAATGAAGAATTCTCTTCAAAATTCATGCGCATTCGCATCGGTGTGGTAGCCACCAACCGTGCTGAGACTGAGCAGGAGAGAAGAGATACAGATGAGAAGACCGAGAGATATAGAGGGGCTACTATTGAAGCTGCTCTTGTGAGGATAATGAAACAACGGAAGCTTATATCTCACACGGAGCTTGTCAATGAGGTACTTGCTCAAATGGGCTCGAGGTTTAATCCCGACATTACTATGGTAAAAAAGAGAATTGAGTCTTTGATGGAAAGGGAATACATGGAACGTGCTGAAGGTGAGAGGCAGGTGTATCGTTATATCGTAAGTTCTCTGATGGCGCTGCCTTTTCACCTTTCTATAATACTAGTACCCAAACACAATACTGAGACTACTGCTACTATTATTAGGCCTAGTTCCGTACCCCCCACACACAAATTCCGCTATTGGCTACCCCGTCCTTCCCCCTTCCCTTCCCCCAACACAATGGTATCTTTCCATACTCTTCACGTTCAAACCTACATCCCTTCATTCTCCTCTTTCTTGATTCAGTTCATTTCCGGTATATACATGGCGTTCATAACAAAAATGGGCTGAGGTGCGCTGTGAGGGACCTGTTCATTTTCATTCTTACCTTTGTTTCTCCCTATGTTTTTTTTTCCTACACGGACTAAACGAGTGATGACGAAATGGCATGGATGGGTGGTTGGAATAAGATCATTGATGATAACACCAGCTTTTTTCCCCAGTGGATATAGCTATTCGGCTGATTTTGCTGAGAATATCAACGGGTGTTATTGTCCTGTCCGCATCTGAGTCTGAGTAACCTGGGGTTTGCGAAAACTGCCGCAGGTGAGTTGCTTGATTGCATCGCTGGTAAAAAAAAGGGGGGGGAAGAAAAACAATAGCAAGTAGTAGCTGAGGAATTGAAATTTGTGCCCAGCCGATTTCTTTCTCTAATATTGTTTCTGTAACCCCAGTGGAATCTATAGGGGTCCAAATCACGCGTCGGCTGAAGAGCAGACCGGCGGCCGCGGTACAGCATTTTATTGCTGCTAATGGGTAGTGGCGGCTAGTGGATGAATGGTGTTCAGAAGTAGCTATAGTAGCTCAGCTCGGAAGGCAAAATGCGCTTGGGAGTTTTTTTTAGAGGTTGCTAGAAACACGAGATAGATGAAACCAGATTCCATCGATGTTTGACTCACCACGATGCTGAAGTCTTGTGGGGTGTCATGAAAACTCACTCGCATCGGTGCCCCCCGGAAGCCGGATCTTGCCGGGTCAATACTCGAAAGGTGACCAGGACACAAGCCCCTACCAGCTCTTAGTACAGTGCACCCCCAAGTTTCACGCGCAAAACCACGAGGAAACGCCCTCCCAGCCCCATCGAAACCCACAGTCAGCCAAACACGGTCATCAGCCACACCTTAGAGCCCCCCCACGACCGATCAAACCGCTGCATAAGGGAAACGGTTTGCACGTAGGACCATCCCAGTGATCGATTCCCTTAGCGGTTCCTACGTCTTCTCTCGAGGTGGGAGGGGGAAGGCAGGTTTGGCTTGAGCGACGGATGCGATTTTCCCCCCGTCCCGTATGAGTATCGCACCGCTTTACCAAGTGACCTGCTGCTAGTTTATCAATCAATTGGCCATGCGTCCCTACTATCCCCCCTCTTCTCGGTATTGTAACTCGAGTTTGGCCCTCTTCCCGCGGGCCTCCACGGCGTGGTATTAGCCACCTTGGTGATTGGGATGCTTTGACCGGCTCTACGGGCATGGATCGTCACTCGTGTTCGGACATTTTCGAGCTATGGGGGCGTGTGCATGGATGACGCACTTTGTGCGTAGATTGTTTCGGTGATGGACCGAAGAGCACGGTCTTCATCACCAGTTGTATATATATTTTTGGATATTGCAATTTTCCAAGATCCTCAGTACTCAACGCTCTCCGATATTTCTGACTTTGGGCGTTTATTATTCCCTGAGTTATCAACTAGGTCATTTGATTATCGCCCCCGGGGGGTCCTTTCCTTTTTTTACATTTTGGCCTCTTTGTATTACGCTACCTCATTCGAACAGTCTGTGGTCTTCCAACCTACCCATGGAAAAATATATATATATATAATAATCAAGAGTGAGATTCTGTGAAGGATTGCGCGTATCCTGGGGTTTGTTACCAATCAGAACGAGAAATAGACTGGCTTCTGACTGACGCCCAATGCATCAAACATAATCCTTCAACGCTGTTTGTATCTCGGCTCCCCCCTCCCCCCTCCCCACTCGGAGGGAGTCTAGAAATATGCACCTCCTAATATGATAGGATCCCAACAGCATTTGCCTTCTCCATTGGTCATTCACTCGACAAGGGGGGATGGGATGGGGTTTCGGGTTTGTTTGAACCGGTCCACTCATTGCTTCCTCTTTCCCATCTCTGTCCCGCTTTGTCGGATTGTGCCTGGTTCCTGCATGAATAATTTTGACGATTGGTCCGCCCTCAGCGTGCCCCTTTCCCCTCTTTCCCCTCTTTCTCTGTATTCTCTCTGGCCTCTGCCTTGAGAAATTGAAGAGCAATATCCCGGCTAGGATAAATAAATGCACGTTCCCATCAGCCAGCTAGCCAGGTCCAAATTTTCCGCTACACGAGTAGCCGGATACCAATCTATAGGGTGGAACACTGAACACACCATACTCTAAGTATCATATCGGTGCCAGCACGCCAACAATGGCAAATGGGCTCCGGGGACGGAATAAAACAGCGGTATCGTACATGTGGTTACTCGGGTCCAAAACCGCACTCGAAGAAAAACACGTACTATTGGCAAAATACCGTGCAGGTTGCTGGCAGGGGGCGCCTGATATCGGTCATCCTGGTCAATATAATGTCGTGGGTACGATAATTCCAACAAGCGTCACAAAAATTGACGATAATGATCCGAGCGGAATGCAATAGTAACCCGGCCGACGCTTTCTTTTACAAGAGGGGCTTCATCGTTAGAACTCGTATCATATCACGGCGGGCCATTCCACTCACTCGCTCTCATTCCCGTGCGCCCGACACTGAGGGGGGGGTTTTTTTTTTTCCTCCAAAGAACCAGACTATTGTGACCCGTGGCAAGGGTTCCGAGGATCCAAGACGGGGAGGGAGGCGAGGAGGGAGGGAAAGTTTGGAATGCTATGATTGGGGCTCATGTCCTCTCACTCGTGTTTCAGCTATTTGCTAGCGAGAAGGAACTGACTTATGATACGTGGTGGATTTCCTTATCCCCCTTTCGATACCGGTACTGGTACGGCACTGTACTCGTACTCGTACACATGCCCGGACGAAACTGTGTGGAAACAAGTATCTCCTAGACTAGCGAGACGGGAGAAAGTTTTGTGCCGCCTCTGTTATGGTGGTTTCTGAGACGGGGATGACTACCGTAAGGAGGGTTCGACTTGCACATTCAGTACAAGTCAATATTCCCTTGATTAGCTCTTACTAGTGTCAGTGTACCGGTACTCGTACTGTATTCGAGTACAGTAGGTCTACCGTAATCAGATAGCTAGTATTAGTCACGGTCCGAAGTCTGCACATCTAATTTACGAAACTTTTTGTCATTGAGGAAATGCCGCTTCTTATCATATTAATCTCTGCCTCGAGCACTGCGAGCCGGTATCTGCAGTAGATTTACAAACGAGCGCGGTTGCTCCTCCAACCGTGAGCTGGAGTGGGAGAGAGGACAGACCATCATCGGTGTGAATGCCATGCAAGCAACTATATTCCGTATTACTATGGAATTGTTACATACATGTACGAGTACTGTACTCGAGTACCTGTACAGTGCAGTACAGTACAATGCTCCGCTGCGTGGTATCACCAGGCCCTACCGGAACGCGCGGCGGGATGGTTGAGTGGATCCACCCACGTCGTGTTGCACACCCGCACGGCCCGACCATTTTGAATGAATACTCGAGTATCGGTACTCGAGTAGAGTTAGTCACCTAAGTTACGAGTACTGTACAGTACTAGGCCCATTTTTTAAGTATTCGGAATGGAAAGCATAAAGTTTTTTTTAGTTTTTTTTTGCACGTGTCATATCGTCCATTCACCTTTTGGAGGTTGTCATGGTTGGGGGTGGAAATTTTTTTTCCATTGTAATCGTGGGCTACGGTATTTGTGATGGAGAATAGTTTTGCGCATTGCTTATCGTCATCATTTTTGGCGCCGGCCTCGTACTCGGACAGTATGTGATACTGATGCTAGACTGTATTTCGTGCTATGCGTCCCCTCTGGGGAAGGTGAGGATACGGTATGATACGGTAGGGTTTAGACAAGGCTATCGCAGTGCCCCCCTCGCGCGACCGAGGGGCTCGCTTACCGGTGGTCTACGGTATTGGGCAGGGCACTGCGTCGGGGTGGTTGGCTGTGTTTCCTCACTGTGACAGCCACCGGCCCAGCCTCCTGTGATACGATAACACACCGGTACCGTACTACCAGGTGTACCGTACGAGTACGAGTACTATTGTGACGCCGTGGCTTTACTAGTACTCGAGTACCGTAATGCACGAGTGCTCGAGTACCTGTGCGCTAGGGTATTATAGAAACTCTTGACGATCTGGAGCGAGGTACTTCCTGTCTTGGACATATGTCGGGTCGTGTTTTGACCAGATCGAGTGGGGATCTCCGGATCCCCTTTGTCTGGGGTTTTTGCAATAGAGTCCTCTTTTAGAGGGGGGTGGGGGCTAACTGCTGGTGATGGTGTTTTCTTTTTTATCGGGCGGTCGACGATCGTACTTGGAATTGTCTGAGGCACAGTACACTGTGCGAACGGGGGGGATTTTCCACAACATGGACTCGCCGCCATGGCGGTGACCAGTGTGGACGTGACGCCCCTGTATGGCAAAAGATCGCGGGATTGGTCTTGGATTCTTGGAATGTGGTACCACCTCAGTCAGGTATTCGTGTCACCGTAAATGAGGGCGTCTATCGTGGGAACCTGACGGTGGTGCACTCCACCGGCACAAGGCTGGCCTACGGTAGAGCACGGTAGGTGCGGGCGGCAAAATCCATTATGGGATGGTGGGAGGGACAGCAAAAGTTTATTACACCATTGAATTTAAGATATCATACACAGCATGACTTTCCCTATATGCTCCTTTTTTCCGGGGTCATCAGGGTGGGTCAGATTGACAGGAGAGCAGATAGATACCCTTCATGCCGGATGATACTGACGGCCCTTAATTTAGTACTGCTTTAATAACGGTACTGGATCTCTTCCATCCGTTTATGGAGGGTCGTGGATAGCCCACAATCGCGAGATCTCAGGTACTCGTACACTCACTCCCCTTCCAAATACACAATTTGCCACTGATAGGTCGAACCTCGGCTCAGGCGAAGAGATGTGGTCTAAAGGCTACCTCTCTTCCCACACAAAACACTTGCCTTGCCACAGAGCCTGGTGTGAGGCGATGGCGCGGAGAGCTGGACCACCGTATCGTTTGAAGTTACAAAGCACACTGTGAATGGGCTTCCACGAGCGAGCTGCGCGAATCAGCATTCGCCAAGACATTTTGCATTGCTCGCTGTAGTACTTGGTACGTCCGTCTTGCCCGCTCACTACCGTATCTATCGTTAATTAAGCTCGCATGACCCGAATTCATGGAGCTGAGGTGGGGCAAAAGAAATGGTTGGAGATCTACATCACATTCATTATCAAAGCCCTTACCTGTATCGTACTCGAGTACTCGAGTACCGGTACTAGTACAGTACAGTATTCGACCCGGGAAGCGGGCCCATGCAGAGAACTGGTTTACGGAGTAGGAGCTTCCAAAAGGGTTCCCCTGTAGCAAATCTATCGATTTGCATGGTCCCCGAGACAATAGATTGTCATACGGTAGATTGTCCAAGGATCACATACGGTAGCCAGGTCGAGTGCGCATTGTTGATAGGATTGTGGATGGGGTTGTCCATGCGAGGCGCCGAAGAGGGAGTAAAGATGGTACGGTATCATAGTGGATAAATTAGCGGCTATGATTATCCGAACCCGTAACCCCTTCCCACTGGGTTGGGTATTACTTGTATGTCCAGGGATTGATTGCCTTGTGGGGAGGGAGCACAGAGGCAAGGAACGAACTGGTGGGGAGGGGGAGGGATCGCTTATGGCACAGCAAAATGCGAAGATTGCTATTCGAAGGATAATAATAGATGCATGGATATCTCGGACCTCGGTGAAACGAGATATCGGATGGAGTTGAAAGCGTTCTTCTCATCCTTTCTCTCCCGCAAGCCACACTGCGGTACTCGAGTACGGTACCTGCCGTATTTGTGACCCAAGGCCAGGAACCAGTGTGTGTGTGTGCTCATTGTACGAGTACGGTACTGTCAGAGTGCCGGTACTGTACTGTACTAGAGTACAGTCACGAAATGGAGTCTGAGAGTTGGAGGTGGGACCGGACCGTGCGAGAAAAGGGAACGAATCTCATCATATGATGTGTTTACCATTGTGGAGTTTGCGGGCTTACCTCTTACAAGTACCTTGCCCCCCCCCGTTCTGTGGTATATACAGTGTGGCTGGCGTAGTCGGGCGGTGTGATCGAAAGACGTGCTGCTCATACGAGTACGGTACTCGAGTACAGCAGGGAAGGGCTACTTGTACGAGTACGGTACGCGTAAGGAAGGCTTGGACACAGCAACAACAACGAGAGGGAGGGTGCCAGAGGCACTTCTTTTCGTATGCGGGGAGAGCAGCCTACTTTTTCTTTTCTTTTCACCTCTGATATCGGTGGTTGCCGCGAGAATATGATAGGTAGGGTTAATATGGGAGGGCCTTGCTTGGGAAAAGTGCTAGCACTGCGCTTCTGCCCATTTGGGTTATATTGCATAATTGATTCTTGGGGGAACATGCCGTACAGTACGGTATAGATATGCACTATTTACCTGAGTACCGTACAGTACTCGTACTCGTGCCATGAAGACTCAAGGATGGAGATGGTGCTATGGTGCGAATTCGCTGTGGCCGCGGTAGGCGCCATGCGAATCGACGGTTGTGCATATCCCTTCCTCTGTGCTAACTCTAAAAAAGTGCTTGAAGGAAAAGGTACAGCTGGTCCATTGTTGGATGGGTTTCTCACCAGTTCACAGGGTGCAGGGATGGCTCCTCGAGTCGTGAGTCCGAGAATATGGGTAATTTACTCGAGTACGGTATGATAGATGATCCTAGAGAAGGGGGCTGAGTCTTTTTGGGGCTTTTTTCTTCTTTTTTTTCTTCTTTTTTCTTCTTCTTTTCCGGTGGCGGGGGACGAGGAGATGATGTTTCTACAAGTATCACGCACCCGCACCTGAGGGGGTGGTCTTGAGCCGCCTGAGGTCTGAGGCTGAGTTCGTGGTTCCTCTTCTGGCCGCCAAGGTGTAACCCCAATCCCGGCAGCTAAACCGCAACCAGTAATCTGTTTACCCTTACCACCCCGCGGGTCGAGGTCAACCACTGTAAAAGTGGCCCCGGGCACGGGTGGATGGCGCATGCAGTCGTGAGCCTCTTTTTCCTCCATTACAGCTCATGAAAACATCCACACACACACAACACACACACAACACACACGGCGAGGGCGTGAAGGCGAGCAATCAAGCAAGCTCTCGACGAACCACTTGGAATTGAATTGTGGCCAACGCATCCTCTCTGGCTGTGTGCTTTGTATGATACTCTACTGACAGCTAGGCTATCGTACGCTTCACTTGCCCATTCACGACATTCCGCCAACATTCTAACGACTGCTAACGACTGCTACAACTGCAAACGACCCGTTCGTCATAACTTTTTCTTTTTTCTCCCTCCCTCTCTCCCTCTTTCTCTGGACAAGCCGTCACTCCATCGTCGTTGACGAGACTACAACCTTTCTTTTTCTGTCCCGCCCGCTAGGTAATTACTAGTACCTTGAGGACCGGGCTTGCTGGTTTGCCATTCTGATTTCTCTCCTCCTCCCCCTCCTCATCTAACACTTTCACTCTTTACAAGTACTTGTACGATGGCTTATGTGAAACGGCACTGATCTCTCTGCAGTCGCTCTTGTTCCACCCGCCCACGCCTCCCTGAATCGAGGATTATCGGATAACTCACGAATCCGCAGCCTGGCCGTTCTGGGTAGGAAGGGGCTATTTGTTGCGGCTGTCCCTTGTTCGGCTTGTTTGCTTTTTTTTCTTTTTCCTTCCCCCCCCCCCGAGTTACTATTATTCCTTTTTCCTCCCCCCTCCCCACGTTTCGTGGTGCATACGAGTGACCTCACCTAAAAGGGAAAGTGTAGGGCTTCAGCTGTGAGCAGCAACATCAGACGAGAACGAGGGGCTGGGTTAGAGTTTGGACCACACTTGCCTGTGTGTCATCCGGGTCAGGTAAGGTTGCTTTGCTCCTTTTCCTTGTGTCGCACTGTGAGAGTAGGAGCGCACCCGGGACCCGCTCTACTGTACTAGTAGGGGAAAGGTAGGGCCCAGCTGTCTATAAGTTGGGTTCCCGGCCTCGAGCACTGCGGGGCCTCTTTTTGTTGTTGTTCGCCCCACTCGTTGCTTTGATATTCGCCAGTTGTACCACCTTGCTTCTCTGCGCTCCAAGCACTTCCATTGTACTCGTACAGGGCACCTTCCACTACTGCTAACTCGGGCTGGTGTCTGGTTCCAATCTCCGCCAGCGCCTCAAAGGGTAGATAAATACCTCCGGCTCAACCCCCCCTCCTCCATTCCGGCCTCGTTATCCTCTCCTGGGTACATTGACACTCCCGCAACCTTGACGTTTGCATGCCGTTACGAAGAACCACTACTATCACGAACACGATGCGTACCACACTATTTCGGCTCGCAGCAGTTAGTCTGTTTGCTACACTTACGAATGCTCAGACATTTACGCAATGTAACCCTATGCTGAAGTGTATGTGGAACCCGCTGGACGCAATTGCCGGGAACCCTGGACTGATAAGAATCGTATAACAGCCTGCCCTCCTGATCCTGCCCTTTCCGGAGTGTACCAGCATACCTATGGCGGGGAAGCGCCCAACTTCAATTATTTGTCGAGCAAGGATTCCGTCAAGTATGGAGGAAAGGATGGAGCCGTCTTCAGAATTGCAAAACCGAAGGATGCGCCGACAATTGTCAGCAGCTTTTACATAATGTGGGGTAGATATGAGGTTGTCCTGAAGGCAGCCCCAGGTGCCGGTATCATCTCTTCGATAGTCCTCCAGTCGGATGACCTTGACGAAATCGATTGGGTATGTTGGTTCACCGGCTATCACTCACTTGTTGGTGCGCATGGTATACGAAAGGGTTTCTGACATCTCTTGTAGGAGTGGCTCGGCGGCAAGCCTGGAGAAGCACAGTCAAATTACTTTGGGAAGGGGAATACTGCCACCTACGACCGTGGTGCAGTCCACCCCATCGACAGTCAGGCTAGGTTCCATAAATACGGGATTGACTGGACCGCCGAGAAGATCGACTGGTTGATTGACGACGTCGTCATCCGTACCCTTAAGCCCAACCAGGTCAAGGGTGACTTCTACCCCCAGACTCCCATGACCGCTAGAATCGGATCATGGGCTGGTGGAGATCCCGACAATGAGCAGGGTGTTATTGGTTAGTCATTTGCGAAGCAGTTCTGATGGATTTGGACTAATAGTGATTCAGAATGGTCCGGGGGACCAACCGATTTCACCAAGGGGCCATTTGACATGGTTATCCAGAGCATCTACGTTCGAGACTACTCCACGGGGAAGGAATACGTCTACTCCGACAAGTCTGGATCCTCCGCCTCTATCAAGTCCAACGGTGGCAGCATAATGGGAGGAGGAACCAGCCCGGGAACCCCTAACTTGTCATCTTCTTCGTCCTCGTCCGTGGCCCTATCATCTGGCTCCTCCGGCTCAACATCGTCCTTCAATGCCCCGTCCAACAGCGGCCGTCTCTCCTCAACTACCAGCAAAAGTGAGCCCACCCCGACCAACGGATCATCCGGCCCCAAACCGACTAACACCAACTCGGAGGCCACCCAAAAACCACCTTCGCCATCCTCACCGCCATCCTCACCGCCATCCTCGTCACCATCTGGTTCTCCTGAAACCCTTTCCACCGTTACGCGTGGGGCGGGCTTCGCCACTGGAAATTCTACTGGACCCGCAGCACAAACAACCGCCGGATCAAATGCGTCTGCGCAGACTACGAGCACTGGCGCGCTCGCTTCCAACGGGTCTTCTAGAACCCCCATTGTTGCGGGGATAGCAATAGCATGTGCAGGGGTGGTTTCTGGGTGGCTTTTGTAGATTTTTTTTTAGGGCTTCTTTTATTAATTGACTAGAGGGATAGAATTCGCCATCTTTTTCCTCCCTTTTTCGTTTCTTCATGTTATCGGGATGGCACGGGGTTTTTCTTTTTTCTTTTCTTTACTCTCCTTTGTCCATCGGCATTTTATTTTCATTTCCCATCCTGAAGGTTATGCATAGCGAATGATTTTTATTTTTGCATGGGGCTTTATTGCTTTCCCTCTCTCACACTCTTTTTCTGTTACATACATATCCGTGTGGGCTGTGGAATGGGTGGGGAGTGCATTTTACATGATTGAAGATGAACATAAAGATTGGAATTAATGTCGGGGGTTTTGTGGGCCTTGGAGACTTGATTGCGATGCCTGGGATTTAATTCGAAGATGAAGTTAAAGTCACTTGTGCCTTTATCCTTGTTCCGTGAGCAGAGTTTTTCCACGTGGTAGATTGGCACCGCTAGCACGGACGTACCGAGCAATCTTGTGATGGTAATTATATATCTGCTTAGCTAGACAGGTACGATACGTACTGTACCTACCACACAAAACAAGGCCTATGTCGCCCCCCCCCCCCCCCAACCCTCGAAGGACTTGTACAATAGCGCACTGGACAAGTGGTGCTGAGGGAAAGCATTGAATCATGAGATATCACTCGTCACCGACTTTGTTGCTACCGTACCACCTCAGTTTGGTCGTTCGTGCACCCGTGCCCATCCACAGTTGCCAAGCCCGGCTGTGCGTGAGTTAGTGTATATATATACCGTACTGTACCATTTTATATATACTCGTTTCGTTTGAAGTTGAGGGGTTTCTCCCGTTCAGAGGGAAGCCAGTGCGCCATACATATGATATTATACCGGAATATCATATATGTAAGCGCCTTCTCGGGGCGTGATGGATTACCCGTGGCGAGCGGTGTCCGTGCATGCTGCTGGCCTGGCTGGTGCTGGTGCGTCGGATGGATCGCCGCCGATGAGGGCGGGGCACAGTGCTGTGCAGCCCCTGTATGACATACCGCTCACCCAAACTGCGAGAGGATGTCGTGGTATCTTTTCACACGTTTGATGGTCGATATTAAGACCACTTCCGGTGTGATATAATGGATGTGTGAAACCGTGGGAACACACACACACATTAAGGAACCGAGTTGAAGGGGAATATGGACATAACCGTACCGTACTGCACTGCACTGCACTGCAATGTACTGTACTATACTATATTCCGGTTAGCCGCCTTCAACTGCAGGTACTGTACGGTACAGTACACTATCACCGGATATCGTACTCCTCTCTTCTCCTCCGCTGCTGGATTATTATATAGTATCGCACGCTGCCTGGATTGTGGGTGGGTGGGGGAGCGGGTGAACGTGTTCGTTCGCTTAGGATAGGGTGGGAAGGGGAAGGCTGGTCGGTTTAATATGGTGGGTGGTGGTGGTGGTGGTGGTGGTGGTAGGGCGGACGGGGGGGTGCGGGTGTAGGTATTATGGTATGGTGCCCATCATACCGTACCGTGATCCTGGGTTTCATTCATGTATGATATGATATAATATGATATGCATGCATGACTGGACTCGTTACTGTGCTTTGGATGTTGTGGCGCGCATTGGAATGTTTACCCTTATCGCCGCGCATCGCACTCGCTCAATCACTCACTCGGTGTTGTCGAAAGGGCGATCGGGCGCGGGCACGCGCGCTGGCCGTACTCCTCCTCAACCGGTGGTGGCCTGACTCGCTATAAAACCCGCAAGGAAAAACAAGCCAAATTACAACCTGCCGGTACAATACAATGTAGGGCTGCGCTGGTTTAAATAAATAATATGAATAAATGGATAAATAAATGGCATAATGTCAGCATTATGAAAGAAAACAAGGTGAAAATAGAAGAGAAGTAAGCGTTCTAACAGTGTTACGTATGACGTGCGATATATAGATGGGGGAAACAGAAGGAATATGGATGAGTGGACAGAAGTGAAGGGCGGGGAAAAAAAAAAGAAGACTAGTTCATACAACAAAAACTCCCCGCCGTACCCATCCATGCAAATTACTGTGACGACGTGAACAAAGTGGATCGGGAAAGGAGGGGGGGGGGAATAGCGACAAAGGGGTAGAATGACGGACGAGTGGAGGGGAAGAGAGGAGGGGGGGAGAACAGAATAAAGAAGACCTGGTGTCCGGGCCCAAGTGTTTCTCATGCCGCCGCGTCTCATTACCACCTCTAGCTCTTCTCCCTCGGATAAAGACCCGCCTATGAAATATACCCCCCAATCTCAACTTTCAAACTTTCCAGCGTCCCACTCCTCGTATGCCTAACATGCCCTTCCTCCTTCTCTACTTCACCGCTCGTGACATTACCAACCTCCCAATCCGCCCTAATCTCCTCGAGTACCTTCTCACACCAGTACCCAATATCCCTCTGAAAATCCCGCCACCCATCTTCGGTCCCGTTGACTACACCCGTGACATCAAACTTCAACCTCAACTCCCACCGGATCTCCGCGGCCTTCTTCCAGAAGCGCAAGTTCTCTGCTGAGCGATAGGGCTTGCTGAATTCTTTATGGTAGTTCTGGATCTGGCCGAAGGGCCGCTTGGAGCGGCGGATGACAGCATTGTGGATCAGGATCAGGCGGAGGCCTGAGCGGAGGGATAAGAGGAAGGGCGTTGGAAGCGGGGTTGCTGGTCCGGTAGGAATAGGTGGGGGGAGGGGGTCTGGGGAGGGGTCGAAGTAGTTTAGGAACAGGTGGCAGCGGTCTGCTAGTAGCTTGATTAGCATGTTGGGCTCAGGTTTGGGGATTGAGAAGGCTTAGGGTGATTAGGGAGCAAACTCATTTCCCGACCTTCCCAGCTGCCTTCCAGCCATTCCCTGCCTTCCTTCCGCATGTCCGCTATTGCATTTTCCTCTGCTAGCAGTGATAGCTCCACGCTCTCGATCCACCTGACGATGGCGTCCCGCTCCTCGGGTTTCACGCCGCCGTCGAATTTCCTCTGCGCCAGTCTCTTGAGCACGTCTAGAATTGTTAGAAATCCCTCCCTCAGCGATTTGTCATCCCGTGTTGACAAGAGTGATTTGTCGGTGGTGTAGTAATACGCCTTTGCCGCCCGAATGGCAGAAGTTGCCAATTCCACCAATTCGTTCCCGTGAAGTTCGCTGAGCCCGGGTGGTAATGGAGCCAGATCCTCTTCGCCCTCCACCTTCTCCTTGCGCGCCGGCCCACCCGGAATCGCAAAGCTCTGTAGCCACGCACTTTTCGTTACTGCCAAGGCGCCCCGCAATTGCTCCCGGAGGACCTGAGGATTTGGGGTTGGAGGGACATGCTTTGTCTGAGGGTTGTACGTGGAAGTGGTAGGCGGTAGCATGACCGACTCATCAAAGGGGAAATCATCGAGCTCAGAGGGTGATTCGGAGAAGAAGTCAGCTTCCATAGGCATGAAAGGTTCTGGCGACGATCGGAGTGAGGAATAAGTCGAGTCCTGGGAAATCCCCTGGGCTGCTGATGTGTCCACAGTCAGGTTATTCGAGCTCTTCTTCGTCTGTAGCCCGCTGCATAGACGGTCAGAGAAGCTCTAGCTATGTAGGAGAGTGGTGGTGCGAGACTTACGCCCCTTTCCCATCCAACAATCCAGTCTTTGCGAAAAAGTATTGAAGGTGTGCTATACTCCCTAACGCCATCACGCTTTGCCTGGACCGCGCCGAGGTTGAGAACTCTGTCCCTTGAGGTCGCATGAACCCGCGTTTTCGTGGCCCTCCGAGGTCCGTCCGACCAAGTGAGGATCTAGCCGAAGAATTGGACGAAGCATCGGAAGACGCGTATCCCAATTCCCCGGTCGTGAAGGCGAAGGCGGGGGACGGGGGGGTCATCGGAAGTGCACGGGGCGAAACATTTGGAGAATCTTGCTTTGCAGGAGTCTTTGTGGGAGTCGAGCGGGGCGATGGCATTGGGGTGGTATTTCCGGACATGATCTTGTATAGTTAGGGGGTTGGGAGGCTTGAAGGGGGCAAGGGAAAATGTGGTGTCCTTTCCAATCAGTATGTACAGAAGATACCTCTTGTCAAGCCCCGGAATCCACGGAATGAGATGAAGGAGAAGGGAAGAAATAAAATAAAAACGTGATTGATTGATACGATAGGTCAGAGTCTCGAATAAAGTACGGTAGGAACACCAGTAATGAAATAAGCTGGCGCGATGAACGGCACTTCTGCCAGGCCATAAGAACATGTACCCGAAAATAGGGGGGGGGGATGTGTGTGTTCTATATGGGCGCTCATATACGCACCAAATATTTTACCACAATATATTTCTTAATACCCGTTTTTCCGGGCACATACTGCCTGCGACGGGTACATAAAGATGCTCAGGCGGAAGTAGTATGTAGGGGCGTGGATCACCGAATGTTCTAGAAGTTGTTGAGGGTGAAACCAGCGTTGAAAAGGAGGCGGGGATGCGGGGAGGATGAGCGGGGATGGGAAGGGTGGCAGGTGGAGATGGTGGGGATGATGATGATGATGATGATGATGGGACAAGGGTTGTCAGGGGCGACCGGGAGCAAATGCTGCTGCTGCCGCTGCCGGAACCCCTAGCCCATCATCATAGCGCCCCACTGTAGCGTTTGTCTGGTCAACGGTAATCCAAGTAACGCACGATTCACCCCAAGAATTTCATGGGTATGGTACCGTGGGGAGCAACTGGCCGCATCGTGTACGATCGTACAGCACAGTACCGGTATCGTACCGCGCGGCGGACTCAACACTTCACGCCCTATCATACGATGCCGCATAATCGTCCAACCATCCCGGTATGCGCTCGTACGGGAGATGATCGGGAGGCCGATTTCACTGGGAAGGAAAGAAACAAAATCGAGTGGCGGCGAGTGAGATCGTGTGCTATGCGGATATTATATATGAACAAGGAAGGGGTCGGGATAAGGTTTTTCTCTAGTGAAAAAAGGGCTGCTGGCCCAACAAGAGGCTGGAGATCTGACAGCTGCATTTTCAGAATCTAGTTACGGAATGTGATACGCTCTGGGTAAGATTTAAGTTGGATTAATCAGTTAGGGGATGAAGGGGACCCTACTCTGAGATGGCTAGTTACGATATGTATTTACTGTTAGGTACCCGTTCTATGGACTGCTTGGTCCGTCGGAGCTCGAATTCCGGGTTTTGTACTTGTATCTTGCGCGCGCACTTGCTGCACTATACATCGCAGAATCCATGACATGTGACGGGGATTATTTCGATGATAATAGCCCAACGGGCATGGAGTTTCGAGATTGGACACCGGTTTGCGGACCTCTTTATGGGGAATCCGCCGAATGGATTTAGATAACCTTTGGTGCTTGGTTTTTGGGGGCTCCTGTCAAGGCGCCCGCGCTTTAGCAGGCGCCGACCACAGGCTAAAAAGCCCTCACATGGAGCATGGAGTTTTCCCTGGTCCCATCCAAGAAGAACGCCACGGATGGGGGGCCTCGACAAGCGAGTCCAAGGTAAGGTACGGTCCGGTGCCGAACCACCGCATGGGATCGACTCGTGGCACGAGCAGATCTCAGCCTTGTACGATCCCGGTTGCACCAATCTTATTTTTCTTTTCTTTTTCTTTTCATCTGGAGGTGTTCATCGGGGCTGACGGAATTCCGCTGGTTATGATATTACTTTTATTGCCGAGAGATGGTGATAGTTCAGTCTACAGTACTCGTGCATCGCAATGCTCACTCGGTACATTGAGTGTCGGGCAAAACTCCCTCGCTAGCCGTTCTAAAAGACAGGGTTAGAGAAACCAAGGAATCAGGACGTGCATGTGATTCGTATTCCCCCCAGTTTACAGACAAGTAGCACATCCTGACAGGTTGTGAACGTTATTAGAAAAACAGGGTCATGAAAAGGGGAGGAAAGAAGAGAGGAACAACGCGTGACATCCCAGACTACTCCGAACCTAAGGGAATAATACATCTAATGATGTTGGGAAAAGATAATTTTAGCAAGCCAGCAAAACCTCCTGTACACCGCAATCCAGCAGAGTGAACCTAACAAAGAGAGAGGGGAAAGAGAGAAAGAAAGAAAAGGGGGATAAGGCATCTGGAAACGAACACAGAGCGGAAGCAATGAATCAGCCGGCTCCTCATAGAGTTTCCCAGCCACCACTGTTGATGTCTGCTTCTAATTTCCTGGATATGACCGATGGCACGCCGTGTTGTAGCCAGGTGTTGCGCATGAGAGCATCGTATCTTCGCTGGTTGAGGAATAATTGTCGGTTACGTCTGTTGGATGTTAGATCTAATACCGTAGAATAGGAAAGGTTGTGGAGATAATTACCTTAATCCCCAGTCCACTTCTCCATACTTGTCAAGGTATGGGGCCGGCCCGTAGCTTCCATGTCCATTATGTAAGTAAATCACGCATCCTTTCCGGATGTTTATGAAAACTCCAATATCCTTTCCGCACCTAACGCAAAAGCAGTGAGTAACTGTTCCAACAGCCAGTAAGGAGAATGGCACTGACTTGTCAACATGCTGATTACAGCCGCCGCGTCCCCTATCTGTACAACACACGGCTTGTGAACATATGATCTCGCCGCAGAATAGGCAAACATTGGGATCAGAAAGGTCTTTCCCGCTCTTTGGGCATTTTCTCTTCATGGCTTCATCAATTAGTGTCTCGTAATGAAGAGGCAATCCGACGAGTTCGAAAATGGCGGGATGTGATAGACTGATATTTTTGGGGTTTGCGCTTGCATGTGCACACCATGCCGATATCATGGAGCGCAAGTACTCGCCATTAGTGGTGGGCATGAGCCAGGAGGAAAGCATCTCATCAAAGCTCGGGAGTCCCAACGCTTCCGAAAGACGGTCTACCTCGGGATCATCGATATTTCCAAAGCCCGTGTTTGGAAAAACGATTCCGTATTGGACATGTAACAGGATGACAGATTTACGCAGGAACGTTGTAGCATACTTTTTGACCAATGCGCGCATGATTGCAACGCTCTCGAGAGGGAGATTGTCCGTGTCCGGCGCTAGTCTGCTGCTTTGGCGAACGAACTCTGTAAACTGACGGAATGTGTTGAGTTGCCGTTCTGTAAAGTTCGTAAAGTTTTGCACATCTCTAGCCCTTCCGGATTGCCTCCATGCCGCCAACAGGTTATTGAACCAATTGACCCTAGAAAGCTTATACACTATCTTTGTGATTTCGGCCATGTAACACAACCGAACAACATGTATGATGTCAAGACCCAGTCCAGGGGCAAGGCACACAGGAACACGTCTGCCAAGAATACAAATATATCGTCTATGAACAGGGGGTTCTCATTCGACCTCAATTTCGTGCGGGCTAGGTCGTCGTATACCTCGGGGTGACCAATCAACAATCGCTGGATTTGTTGTCGCTGCATGTCCTTAAACTCAAAAATTGTTTTGTTTTTCTCGCTGTTTTGTAATCCCCCGACGGCAATATAGGAAGATATAGTTTCAGATAGGATTCTTAAGTGTGTCAAAACTTGTTGAGAGATCCGGTCGAGTAAAGTCATTCCGGGCTCAGATCCCACACCCCGTTGGGCGATCTCAACCGCTGAGATGGTAAACCCGAAGATTTTAGCCATTGAATCACAATGGGTCAGGTTATGCTGCGCTGGGGTTGTGGCTAGGCGTGCCTCGGGGGAAGGGTATCTAGTGTGAATCTTGTTGGTAATAAGGGTATCTCTCAGGCGGCGGTATATCTTGTGCAATTCGTCTAACTCGGTTTGAACCGGCGGAGGAATAACCGCGCCAGGTCTTGGTGCGGCCTCACTAACCCCGAAGCTTAAGGTGGGGGCTGGTCTGGAAGACCCGAGCTCAGGAAATCTAGGCTCGACGTGCATTGTTGACAGTTGAGAGAGCTTATTCCCTATCGGGGCGATCATGTTGCTAGAGCCATAGGAATAAAACATCTCCTGACTCATCATAACGTTGTACCTGTCTAGTCCATCACTCTCAATGGCCTTCTTAAGTTTTGCCATCGAGCCGAGCTTTTCTCCCAACCATTGTTCGAACTTGACTGGCGGTTTTAACACTCCAGCTGCGGTCACCTCTTTAGCCCTCCAGACAATGGGCAGAAAAGCATTTCCCAAAGCCTTGCAAAGGGGGCAGACAAACTCCTTTAGCTCTAATCGCTCGGGATGGTCACGGGCTATTTGCTGGGGATGACGGCGTTTCGTGGATTCGTAGTAATGCTCAAAGCAACTGAAATGCATGACATGGCTGCACCCAGTGGCAACAGGCCCCCTCGTGACAGATTCTGGGGGAAACCCTTGGCCCAAACTTTGACGCTTAACGACAAACTCAGTTCCGTCTGCAGCAAGCTTAAGAATAGAATTGAGATTCATACTCGCAACCCCGTAAGGCCGAATTTCGTCGGCTGGGCGGTCAAGGCTGTTGGGCAAAGTGAGGACCTCATAAACGTAGTTCGGGTCGTTAACTGGTGTTTGCCTAGAGATATTGCTATCTGATATCAGGGCCAACGCTCCGTAAAGCCTTGAGTCAGTCATCTCTTCTTGGCATAGCAAGCATGTCCCGGCAGGATATTTCCACCATTTCTTCTCCTCTTCATACTCTTTCTCCTCATTTTCACTATCGGTGAATTCCTCATCTCCAAAGTCAAACCCAGCAGAATTCAAGAAACTTTGTTGTTGCTGCTTCATCTGTGCCATTATCTTTGCTTGTCGTTCCCTCGCTAGTTGCTTTCTCTCGGCTTCAGCATCTTTGGTGTTTTGCTCAGTCTCGGTATCCATCCTCTCTGCAATCTCGTGTGCCCATACTGCAGCTGCTTCAAATGCCGCCGGCTTCTTTTGCCGCATCCGCCGGAGAATGTTGTCGATCTTGGGCCGGCAAGCTTTGAAGGCCTCTATGCTAGACAAACGGTGGAGCACAGTGGCGATGGTTCGATTGCCAATTTCGCTAGACTCAGCTCCACCCTTGGCCTTCTTCTCGAGTGCGTGGAGGATAAATGAACTATTTTCTTCTTGGCCCTCGATAGTTTTATCCTCGGCGACAGCCAACTGGCAAAGGTGAAGACAAAGTTGTAGAAATGTCTCGACTCTGCTCTCCTGTACTGAAGGTGTGTAGCTCTTGAATTGAAGGCCATATGCCAGGGAGTAGTAAATAATTTGTGCGAAAACAGGCGTTCTGGTGAAAACGGCAATATCCGAGAATACACCCGTCTTGATTTCTCGTAATTTGGGCTCGAATGCTACCTCAGAAACTAGGCGCCCGGTTCTTTTTGCAATTCTCGCACAGCAGCTGTTTTCCGTTTCCTCACGTTGGTTCTTTGAAAATTGTAGGATGTATGGATCCACTTCGTCGTGGTACTCCTCTTTGAGCTCAAACGTGCCGGAATCAGAAAGACCGTCTGGGGGCCGGAAGATAGTCATTTCTTCAAGGATATCTTGGAATTTGTCAAGCTCTTGTAATCTCTCCGGAAGGCGTGTCGTGAGATCTGAGAATTGAATCGGCTTAAAGCAAAGAATATGAACAATTTCTCTCTTTAATTTCAACAACGCAAGATCGGGTTCTTCTTGTATTGGAATAAGCGGGAGTCGGTCGCTAAGTATCACGATCAACAGGTGCAAAAGGTCTTCTGCGAGGTCCAATACTTGTGAGTCCTCATAGCCCTGTGGGATGCCAAAGTTCCCTTCTACCCAATGGTTGAGATTGAAGCGGTCGATCATTGTCACAAGCATCCTGCTGGGGTTGATGGTGACTAGGGATGTCTGTAACAAAAAGATATCTCTACTATGTGCCATCTCTCGCTGGGAGACACTCCTGTAGGTTTGCATCTGATGCCGGAGACTGAATCCGTTGCGGACCCACATCCCTGCCTTCATTTGAGCCAACCACACGCAAACCCTTAGAGGAAAATCAAACATGACGATTGCAGTATCTTCAGGTTCGTATTCCGGCGTTTCTGGATCCGATGCTCGTTTGATTTGTTCCCAGTCAGGCATAAGGAGTTTCCGTAACTGACGCACGTCCATGTTTTTCCCTGCTTCTATGAGCCAGGACAGTGTGTAGTGTAGAGCGTGGTGAAAGCTGATCGGTTGCTTATCGACAGCGAACTTGACAATTTTGTAATGGTGTTGATTGCCCCAGCGGTCTGTATCGAATTGAAAGCCGATGGCTTGTTTGAGCTCGGCACGATATTTAATCTCGGCTTGGTTGAACCGGTGACGCTGGCAGCCCAGCGAGTTGATCGCGGCGTATCTCGTAACCGTTGATATAGCGCGCTGAAGACTATTGTCGTGAGGGTCTTCCGTCCATCGGTACGCTTCCGAGAACTGCCTGACCAACCGATTGATTTCTCGTGTGATCAGGGATGCACTGATCCATGCCTCGGCTTCGTACTCTACATGCTCACCCACTGCGCGGGTGTTGGGACAAATGCCTTGGTGAAGGGTTACCAAGTCTAGAAATTGGAGCATATATCTTTCCTCATGCCGTAATCTATCCTGGACATAATCGGATGCGAACAAATACCGCATGTCCTGGAAGAAATGAAACATTCTCCGATTGGTGAGGGACCCTGTATCAAAGGCGAGGGTTCCCTCTTGGTTGACTTCATGGGGATGGCCCACTTGGCGGGTGGTGAGAAAGGTATACAGGATGGCCAACTGATTTGTCAAGAAGTTCCCACGCTTAACGACCTCGGCGGTAATGGAGGGGGTTGTCAGAATCTGCAGGGAAAGATTGATAATAGAGTGCTCAGGCTCCCGGTCGGGCACAAGGTACAATTGACTCAGGACGGTATACAGGCCAGAGAACCGTAAACCTAGAATTCGTTTGAACTCAGGAATAGCGACCACAGTACTAATATAAAGATCCCGAAGATCAATCCTGGCCTTTTTCCAAAGTCTCAGGTCGAAAAGGATGAGCCAGTCCAGTCGGACCCTTTGGCGTAGGTCTTCGTGAGGGGGCACAGGGTGTTTGTTGGCATACCCGGCTGGTTTCTCTAGCCAATGTTTAGGTACAGGTACCCCCGGCCTGCGGGAGTGCTGGGATCCTGGGGTACGAGGTATTGGCGGCACATCGGGCATTTCCTCTTCGTTGTACACCAGCGCATTATTACTGGCCTCCCGGTTTTGCTCAATAGCAGTTTCGCCTTGAACTGCCGTTGTATGTGCGTTTGTGTGCGCTCTGCCGATTTGATTTGGAGGGCCCATTCCGATTGCGCCTATGATACGACCGCCGAGTTGGGCCAACACGCTGCCGACCATGTCCACATCATCATCAGCTTCTCCATCACCATCGTCCTCGTCATGCTCAACGTCTTCCGCAATCTGATCCTCGATATCTCCTTCATCCATATCCACATCGTCGTCAGTTCCCGCGCCAGCCACTACTTCAATGGGCACAACCACCCGCCTACCCCCGAGAGGAGCACTATCGTCTTCCTCCACCGCATGATCATCAATTCCTTTCTTACCGACCTCTGTGTTTGAGGCCTCCGAGCCAACTCTCCATACCCCGAGAAGTTCTTCACATATGGTTGTCCGAAGTATGTCATTGTGCCCCCCTACACTGCAACCAGCGATGTCTCCGAGCCACTCTACTATCGTACCACACATTTGCTCCCGGAAGGTGTCCCTCGCAGACCTGATAGTTACGGTGATTTTTATCTGCTCAATAATACTCGATATCCGCATAAGCTCTGGAAGAGAGTGATTGTAGGCAACAATACTTCGTCCAACAAAATGGGTTTCCTGTGCTCGTTCTTTGCCGAACCTCCTAGTTTTTTTGCATGCTCGTGCAACCTGATCCTCAACCTCGTCGATGGTATGCTTCTCGTCATTCCATATAATCAGTGCGTATTCGGCGCGATCCGTAGCCGATTCTTCCGAGAAGTATCTGGAAGTCAGCCTGGACGACTCCTCATCACTCCTTATGCCTTCTTCGGTCTTTGGGAGCCGTAGTTGCTCTGGTGAACAGGATATGACATCACATAGGTAGTCTATCGCCCTTGCAATGGTGCTTCGTATACCTACAACAAGGTCGGGTGGTAATTCTTGGGGGGAGGCTTCAGAGTCCATGGGTGAAGGGCCGTGAGGTAGAGGAGTGTGAACGGAACATTTGACGGGAATTTTCCATGCCTCGGGATCGCCACAATCACAGCAGCCACTGGTGCCAGTTGAGATAATGACATAAACAGTGTGACCCGTGTGGTCGGAAGACTCAAAGCATCTCCCACAGAGCACGCAGGTGTCATCGAGAGAGCAAGTTCTGATTTAAAGCTTGCATTAGCCGAAGAAGAAGAAGAGGTCCAACGGTGTTCATGGCTTACTTGCACCGATACGACGCTTCTCCGGACTTAAATATATGTCCACACGGCTTCCCTCTCGCTGTTTCACTGTACTCCGCTCCATCAGACGCACCCTGAGCTAACGACAAATTCCAATCCGCCGGAGAGGTTCCCTGCGGCGGTCCGTTGGGAAAAAAGTAATTGAGATATTCTGGTTTATTACAAGCAAGGGCTCCAAACAGGTCTCTCAACAGCAAGAGCCGAGCCTCGCTCGTATATCTATACTCGTTGTTTTGCGGAGCATTTCGCAGCCGTGAGACGAGGTGGTTCTCCGACTCAATATTCGCCGTCGATGCGACGGGCCGCTTCATCGGACCGGGGACTACAGTGACTCTGCTGGGAAATTTCTGGGGAATGGCGGTAAATTCCAGGGATGACACAGCACCTGACGGGCTCGATTATGGAAAAATCCTAGCAACGGGTGAGGTGGGAGAGCTCGAATGAAGATGGAGAGAGATGATGGAGATGATTGCGGTAGCTGTTGAGATGGTATGTACCGATCGGATTTGAGGGTGCGGTACGGTAGGGCTGATTGACGAAAAACTCACCAATGGTGGGGTACAAGACCAGTAAAATGCAGGACCACGTTAGAGTCGTGGAGAAAACTGCGAGGGATAGGTGAGCTGATAGGTGGACGGGCGTGCGAGATGGTATGACAGTGTAGCTCCCTCCCACTTGGCATAAGTAGGTTTTTGACGACGAAGCGAAGAAAAAGAAAAAAGGGCGGCCGTCTTGCTGGGCAAGCAGGGCACGGTATCATACGAGTACGGGTACCCAAGGAGCAGGCGACGGGTGGCAACCACTTGTGATGCCGGTAGGGTAGACTATCAAGAGCCTCGGAGGTCTTGATCGAGGGCACGAGGGACTTATAGTCTTCAAGTGTAATAAGACCAAACTCACGCCCGCATTAGATTTTGGTCTCAAACTGGGCCCAAGAGCCACGTATCGTGCCGCTTATCAAAGCGCTTAACAGCCGGGGCCCACAAGGCTTCCGGGGAATTGTGGGGCGGGATTAGAGGATCAGAATTCGAGGGGTAATTCGGTGAGGTGTGATGTTTTAGGGTCCAAGTGGCACAGCGTATACGGGTAACTTTCGGATCGATGATCGGGAAGAGGTGTGGTGCGGTGGAAGGGCTCGCAGCGCATCGCGGTTGTTGTCTCTTGGGATTCTTAGGGAGAAGAGGGTGCGTGGTATCATTGGGTCACAGTAGAATTGCGAGTGTCGGTACTCGAGTACTGTACTTGTGCAGTACAGCACAGCACGAGTACAGCACTTGTTAGGGGTCGGTAAAATGTTGGTATCGAGAGCTGATATGATATGTGGGGTAAAGCAGCAATAAACATCGGGAAACCGGGGCCGGTACTCATATTCGGTATCATGCTTGTGGGGGTCAGTCCATGCCTTCCTGGTGCGTGTTCCATGCCATACGTAGAGGTTTCCGGAGTCGAAAGTCTACAGCATGCCTACCCTATTGTGCAGTACAGTGATTGTATGGTGAGGTAAAATTTGAAGCCCCTAATCACTGGTCTTAACTCCGCCCGCTACCACGAGCAAATGGTGCAAACCAATCCGAGTATGCGACCCCGGTACTCGTCTCAAGGATGCTGATGGCATATAGCGTACCGTGCACCATCAAGCGGGATAATCGGCTGCTCTGTATGCCGCACCAAACATGATCGAATAAAGGGTGATCGAGTTATCAGTTTTAAGGTGTGATGCTGTACTCCAGTACCGTACGAACGGAGCACCCATGAGCAAATGAGGCTCGCTTTAGGCTGTGTCAAGGGTTATAAAACCTACATAGTCTACCGATACCGCGCGGTATGTAACACATTATTATCGAAAAAAAAAAACAAAAACAAAAACTCATGTTAGTGCAAATGTGCAGAGGGATCAAGTAACATTGGACAGAATCCAGAACGAACACTGCAGAAAGAGTAAATCTTGCGATCGATACCCGATTCGAAGGGGCAGCCGATAAGGCATCCCGCTATGATACTTGCACCGCTCTCTCGGAACGACAAGGTTAAAACTTGATGTTGAAAACTTCAAGTTACCCTCCGTGGGCACCTGCCATTTCCACCATACTGCGGGGCAATCGTCGTTGATAATATAATGGTAATGTCGTACCGGTATCATACTAGCACCGCTGGTCAATCAACCCGCGATACAGGATTCAAGAGTACTTGTATCATGTCATACCCACTGTGGAGTACTGTACCGGTGCTGTACGGTGATGGGACGGTAGACTATAGTAAGTGAATGGCACTTTTGCTCCCCCTCCCCCCCACGAAAGTAGCCCCACTACGGTACTGTTTTCCATAACGCTTGTAGCCTACGCCTGCAACGGCAGTCGAACCTCCCTTCCTTGCGGGTAGGGTTAGGGCCATGTAATGAGGCAACAACCTCAACCCTTGAACTCAGACAGCTATGATACCACCCTATTGGATGCTCAATTACACAAAGTATCCTGAACTTTCACAATCGCTGAAAAGAAAAATCTCCTACATCCACCCCAACCACCCTTTCTCCGCCCTCAGCCTTGGGGAATAATTCTTCGCATCCGCTAGGTACGTATGTTCCCATCTTTTGTTACTAGGAGAGAAGATTGATCTGACCATTTTGGTAGTATGCCAACCTCAACCCCCGCATCCGACCCCGCTACCGAAGCCACTGCACCCACAAAGTCTGGTATTACCCTCACGCCTGATGGGCAGCGAGTTATACCGTCTTCTGTACGCCCAGATGGCTCCACCAGGCGTGAGATTCGTGTGCGACCGGGTTACCGTCCGCCGGAGGATGTCGAAATTTATAAGAATAGGACGGCAGAAGCTTGGAAGAACCGCGGCAGTGGGGGTGTGCCTGGCGCTTCGTCCCCAAGCGACGACGATAAGCCGCCGGTTGGAACCTCTACTGCAAACAAGAATGCAAAGAGAAAAGCCGCCAGGAAGAGGGCTAAAGAGAAGATGGCAGGCGGACAACCAGAAACGGGTGGAGGGGTAGCTGGATCCGGCGAGAAGGCGAACGGGTCCCAGGAAGATGATCTACCTTCTACAGCTCCTACCGTCGGAGATCCGAATCTCGAGCAGACAAAGACCCAGCAAACTCCCGACGAAAGAGAGAAGCTAGCTAAGTCGATTAGAAAAAAAATTCGCCAGGCAAATGAGCTCAAAATTCGGAAGGAAGTTGGGGAAAGCCTGCTTCCAGAACAGCTGGAGAAGGTCATAAAGCTTCAAGAGCTCACAAGGCAGCTCAGCGCTTTGGGCTTTGATCAGTGAGGGGCGCGAATAGCGGGGGTGTTGGCGGTGATGTTTGGTTGGTCTTGGTATCGTTTCCTGAATGTCTTCAATTTGGGTAGTGGCCATGGCAACAAATGTTGGTTTCCAGCGTCTCACAGTATTCACATGGCCAGTATCATCAATGCCCCCGATAGAACCCCCGCTTCGCATTTAAATCATGTACAGCAATCCCCCCCCCCCTTCACCACTCTTACCTACTGAGGGTTCTTTCCTATTGATTGTATTTCTAATCACATGTTCCTCTGTTGGTGTTTAAATTCTGGGGGATTTCCCAAGGTTTGTGTGGCGTACTACAAATATCCACGTACTCTTTTTTTGCTCTTGGTGTGTGTATCTGTATGACGTCTTGCACTTAGCACTGTGTTCGCCCTCAGGCTTCCCACCGTCTAATATAAGCCCCCCCCCCCCCCCCCGACAACGTCTTGTAAAACTTTCAGATGTTTTGCTTTGGCCCCCAAAGTGTATACCCTACGAATTTCTATCACCATGTTCTCAATGACCAAGTCACAACACCACGTTTTTCTTCACATCCAAACCCTTGTTTCCCTGGTTGTGCCATGCCTTAATCCGTTGTGCCGGATTCCTGCAGCCATGGCGATTCCCACCCCTCATCCACTCCCTTCAGCGCTCCATAGAACAGTCACGGTTACCTCCTTCATAAATTTTAACTTAAGCTCGTCTGCTCCAACATTCCCTAGAACAGTCACCGTTACGTCTTTCATATGTGTTAACCCAAGCGCACCTGCTCCAACCTATGGACCTCTTGAGGCCAGCACCACTGCCTATTTTGGACTTTGTGATCCACCCGGACCCTGGGGGAGGACGTATGCTTGCTACACCAACACTGAGCTTGTTCCATTGCGCTCGTCCGAGAAATCATTCCTCGGGACTCTCGGTCGAGCCAAAACCCTCCCATATCGTTTCGACACATTGGGCCCGAAACCTGGGCCCAGCCGGCTGGACCCCAGAGCTAAGGTATTATATCACGATCTCGTATGATACTCTGGGGTTTCATCCTAAACTTACAAGATCCAGGCGGCTATTCTTGCTCAAACCCTCTCTTCCGGGAGAACCACCGCGACCAGAAGCACCGACGAAGAAGTGGTAACCGGATTGCCGGCTCACACAGCCAGCATAACTCCATCACTTACCTACTCAATTCCAGTCACAACGGTCTCCCCCGCAGCTACCGTTCCGCATCCATATGCGGCGCTGTTTCTGCAGGCTCCGGTAGTGTTGGCATTTCTTGGGATATTTTTATTGTTTTGTGGGTTTCTGTGGAGGTTTCGTGTGCATCAGATACTTTCACAGGTAATCCTCTGGCTGTGGCGTCAGATTCGGCAATTTTTGAAAGACAGGTTTTCCAGAGGCAACGGAAGAGACACAACAATAGGACCATCGGTCGAGGCACCTGAATTCTTGGGGACAGAAAAGCATCGGCAAGGTCGATTGAATTCCTACCTAGGTTCAAATTCCTCCACTGCGGTCGAGCTACGTGAGGACGATGATGAGGTTTTTCAGGCCGATAGTGGGGAGTCCCGTGAGGGAGATACAGCTACCCTTGTGCCAAGTTTGGAGCTGAATCCCGGGGGCGAAAACCATGGAGATGATATCGAGGAATCCAATTCCGCTTTGAACGTCCGCCCCCGTCCGAGTGGCAACCTGTCTTGCAATAGTGTTAGGGAAATTGGTCCTGCTGGTTAATTTCTCCTAAAGTTTCCGGGGCGGCCAGCCTTGGTCTGGTTGGAGGGTCTGCGGTGCGCCTAGTGGTCCGCGGCATTGTAGTGAATCTTGCTGTGCTAAGTTTCTTCCTTTTATGTCTCTCGTTGCTCAAGTCAGAGCTGGCTCTTTGGGGGGCGGCGATTGGGATCAAGCTCCGTCACTTGAGCTCCAGATAAGTTGGAAGTAGCTCATTCGGACTGCCGGGTTAGTTTTAGAGCGGGATTTTTGAATAGTAACATTACTCAATACGAAATTCGCATACCGCTTGAGCAAATTCCAGGAACGTAACTGTTAAGGCCAAGTACGATTCCAGCCCCGTTACCGGATAGTATCGCTTCAGGCCATGCTTTATCACTCGTATCGCAATCTTGTGCGCTTTGGCTAAGTTTCTAGGGCTCCCCTCTTTAAGATTGACTTGACCCTTGTGAAGTTGTCAACCAGGGCTGGTCGGAGATTTCTATGATGGCAGTCTTTCGGGAGGCAGGCTTCTGGGGTATGTTGACATTCAGATTTGTGTCCGATCACGGCTTGCCGGGCCGAGAGCCAAGGGTACAGTACGAGTACATCAGCCACAATTGCTGAACCAGATGAGCAAGGAGCAACTCGCGGATCTGAATGGGGGCGGGTGGGCGGGTGGCTTGAAAAGCCAAGTTACAGTGGGACAAAGTACTCGTACACAAAAATTGATGTTTCTTGATGCGCCATTGCCGGACTGCCCGCAATACAGGTAGCATAATGTAGGGGAAAAATCAATAAATTCTCTTGCGTGCAGGCGTCCTTGTGGAGCAGCGATGCACTGTATCTGTTAGAATTGGGGATACTTGCCACGCCAAGGCTTTTCGTAAATTTACTTGCATGGAAAAGATAAACTTGGATGCTCGCTATTTCCGTGTTCCCAAGGGATAAAAATTGTGGGAAATTTTTGCATAGTGCGTTCTGGATGCACAGTGATCTTCTACCATACTTTTGGGAATCGTCGTATCATAGGAATACTGGTATGATAAATTAATGAAGCCCATCAGGCCCTATCTCATTATTTTAACCTGACCCTTCCAAGCCTTTTTGTTTTGGGTCCTCTTGGGGGCGCCCCATATTGCATCTCACCCCGCCAAACGCTGCGGCCACCACTAGCCACAACCCGAACTGAGAAACTTATTTCTGAGCACCCCACAACATTGACGCAACTACCGTTCATCTCTGTCCCACCCTCTCCAACACCAACCATTTCACAAACAATGGATTCCAACAACCCCCGCGAGACCTGGAACCGCATTCAGGCTGCCATTACTCGGGTGCAGAGACAGGGTGGCCCTGGCAGGAGACCGCCAAAGGGAATTTTGGGCGGTGGCGCTGCATTGGTACTACTTGGTGCTGCAGCGGTTACTTTTAACAGCGCAATTTTCAACGGTTTGCTTTTTTTTCAACTACTTTCCACCCCCCGTGCTCTGGCGTAGGGAATTGGGCTGATGATTTGTAGTTGATGGTGGTCATCGTGCCATCAAGTACACCCGTCTCGGAGGTGTCAAGAAGGAGATCTACAATGAAGGTTTGCGTGTTGGGGCAGGGTTTGCTGCGGCCTCAGGCTAATCCTTTCCAGGAACACATTTCGTTATCCCCTGGTTCGAGACACCAATTACTTATGATGTCCGCGCGAAACCGAGAAACGTTGCTTCATTGACTGGTACCAAAGGTTTGTTACTCACGAGCTCTGTTCTTTTGTTTTTTTGTTCATTGGCATATGATGTTAATTTAGACCAGATCTCCAGATGGTCAATATCACTTGTCGTGTGCTTTCTCGTCCTCGTGTCGACGCCCTCCCGACAATTTACCGTACGCTTGGTATTGACTACGACGAGCGTGTGCTGCCGTCGATTGTCAATGAGGTTTTGAAGTCAGTCGTTGCACAGTTCAATGCTAGTCAGTTGATTACCCAGCGTGAGAGCGTTAGTAGGCTTGTCAGGGATAATTTGGTAAAGAGGGCTGCGAGGTTTAACATCATGTTGGATGATGTTTCTTTGACGGTTTGTGCCACCGGATATAGGATTGGCACATTGTGGGCTAACATAACTTTTCCCTAGCATCTTGCTTTCTCACCTGAATTCACCGCCGCGGTCGAGGCGAAACAAGTTGCTCAGTAGGTGCTTTGGGGTGTTCCGGTTCAGGCGAGTCCAGTTCGCTGACAGGTTTACAGACAAGAAGCTCAGCGTGCTGCTTTCATTGTCGACAAGGCACGTCAGGAGAAGCAAGCCATGATTGTCCGCGCCCAGGGAGAAGCCCGTTCAGCAGAGCTTATCGGGGATGCTATAAAGAAGTCCAAGAGTTACGTTGAGCTCCGTAAAATTGAGAACGCCCGGAATATTGCCACAATCCTCCAGGAGAGCGGTGGAAAGAACAAGCTCTTCCTTGACACTGACGGCTTAGGTTTGAATGTTATGGAGAAGAAATAGCAACCTCCTTGCCGGGTAAACCAAAATAAATTCTACATTATCACCGAGAATAGCCAAATGAGAGTAAGGGAGTGTCAAGGGTTCTCACATCTCTTCCTGAAGCTTGAGGCATTTTTATAATAATAGAATAAAAACTCTCCTATCCTATTGACTTTTTCATTTGGTTGCCTGTGAATGAGATGCTTGAGCGAAAGGTACGAGTAGATTTCCGTATGGTTTCGATTATGAAAGCTGTTTGACATTCGAGTGATATCTGAGAGACATGATTTGGGCACCAATATGACTTACGACTGAGGAGGGTTTATGTAGTATTTGGCTTACCCCGAGTCAATATTCAGGCAGGGCGGGATATACGAATGCAGGCTGACATCCTAGAGTCACCAAGCCCTAACAAGGAGATCCTGTGGTATCATAGGTTCGCTGGTGTACGTCTATCATGCCTTCCGAACAGCCTGCCAACTTCAAACTCGTTCTCGCCTTTTTTTTTTTTTTTCATTGACACCCCCCCCGCCCCCCTTAGCTGCTACCTCGGCAGCAAGAGTTTCCTGATAGAATATCCCGTCTCCGGGTGCTTACTGCCGATCTCAAAAGTTATGAATTCTGATAAACTATCTTCAGGGCTGCCAATAGGTCCCACCCAGCACAGCAGCTCGATTATTTTTGTCGGCAACATACCGTTCGGCAACAGACCCCACTTCAAGTTTTTTGTTAATGGTGATACTAACAATAGTTTCTTAGGCCTCTCCGAGACTCAGATCGTCGAAATCTTCTCCGCTGTTGGCCGCGTTGTCTGCTTTCGTCTAGTGTTTGACCGTGAGACCGGACGTTCCAAAGGGTACGGTTTCGCTGAGTACGTCGACAACGAGACCGCAGCCAGTGCTGTCCGTAACCTGGATAACTACGAGATTTTGGGCCGTAGGTTGAGAGTTGATTATTCTTCCCACGGGCATATTCCCGAGGCCCCTTATTTAAGCCCCTTCCCAGACCTCCCGAAGGGTATGGAGCTACCACAGGGTCTTTCCGCCACCGAAGCTATATCCAGAACCATGGATGCTATTCCACCTGCAAAGTTGGGCGAGCTGTTAGTCGAGATGCACAATCTCGCCATCAAGGATCCGATGAGGGCTACCGAGCTACTCAAACATGCTCCGCAGTTGTCGTATGCACTGTTCGAAGCTATGGCGAAGATGGGCCAGGTCGATCATGCGCAGATGGGGAGGTACTTGGAGCCCGCGGGTTCTCCTTTGCGTGGCTCCTTGCACATTGGCCATCGTGTCTTCGGGCAAGAAAACAGCTCGAGGAGTTCCTTCGCGGAGCCGAGAAGTGTTGTCTCGGGCCTCCCCTCCCCTCTTACCCCTGCTCCTCCGGGCCACCAGCCTAATGTGCCCGCCTCTTTCCCCACTTCTCCTGACTTGCAGCCGTTTGCCGCCCAGAGACCAAATTCGTTCACCTGCACCCCCCAGATCTCAAGTCCCACCCACCAAACACCCATCGTTGCGGCCACTCATAATGTTCAAGACCCAAATGTGGCTCTCTTGCAACAGGTCCTGAACATCCCCATGGGCCAAATTGAAGGGTTGCCGGAAGATCAAAAGCAACAGATGCTCCAGCTGAGACGATGTCTGAGCAATGGAATTGCGGATGATGCTGCTATTGGAATGGCCATTTGATTATTTGATTGGTTGTTCACATTTTTCTCACAAGCAAAAGTTGATTGGTTGTCCGAGGAGTGGACTGGTTATGGGGCGGGCTCATTTCACAACTGATAAGATATCTAGTCTACCGTAGTTTCGTTGGGGGTGGGAAACAAAAAAGAGAAAGAAGTTATGCAGGCCTGGTGAATAGATTGGTCAGCACGGTATGGCAAGGCTAAGTAAGGGTGTTTTCGGTCGAGTTGAAGTAAGAAATGCTTTTTGGGATGTGGGGATTTTTCGTGTTCTGCGTCTTAAGGGGGATCATTTGTCTTGTGATGGGGGGTCTTTTCTTACACCGGCTCTTTTTCTATTTTATTCCACTTTATCATTATTACCGACATCGCTTCTGTGCCAGTACCCTTTCCCTTTCCCTTTCCTACCGTATTCTTCTCCCACCTCATTCGTGTGGTGTATTAATTGTTGCCGGCATGTCACATTTGGCCCATCTGAATTCTGCAGAGAAGCGGGGGTTCCGAGATGACAGGCATACTGTATAGTACAGCATGGCACCGTACCGTAAAGTACAGTACAGTAAAGTACCGTACTACGGTAGTACTCGTACAACACAATACAGTATGAGTAGGTCAAAGAAAGGCCCTGGATGCCTGCTGTGGGCCAGATGTACCGGTAGTGCCAGCACTCGGGTGCTCGAGTGTATTGTTGTCGAGTTATGGTGGTATGCATATTTCGGATGATGGAGATGTTGATTGTTATGTGCTTGAGTTAGTAACGGTACAGTACAGTACGGTACTACGGTACGGTACTTGTAGGGGTTATGGACGACACCGCTCACAAGCCTCGGGATGTCGGCTATCATAGTTATTTTTCGTTCCTGGGATGATGAGAGAGGTTAAACTGGATTTGCCCTGGCTGCTGGCTGCTGGCTAGCCCACCCGACCCCGGGATAGGCAAGCGTGCAACGGCGGTGATCGGCGGTATGATAGCGGTAAGAGATTGGCCATAGTCTATCGGGGCCCCGCGGGCTCAAAGTTGGAAGGGTTGGACATTTGGCCCTGTTTGGGTGCTCGGGTCTGGTGAGGTATATCATATCGGTAAATGCACGAGAATCGTGCCCGTAATACAGTACGTTTCGGTGGGCGGGATCCATCGGAGGAAAGGTACTTGTCTCACACCGTTACTTGCTCGAGTGGGGAGAACCTTTGACTCGGATGCGGTAAACCTTCCCAAGACCTCGCCAGGGGCCATCGTCGTCACACCGTACCGTACTGTACGTGTCATTGCTGGCCGTGAGACCTTCTCGGCACTCACTACTCGAGTACCGGTACTAGTACTCGTACACTCCTGCTTTTCCGGCACAGGTACTCGTACTCTATTATACTCGTACGGCACCCGGCGCTTGCACTGCTGTCGAGTGCGGTATGTACTCTACTAGTACGGTGCGGCCACTCGAGCACATTTATCTTACCTTGGCTGGATTAATAAGATTGGATCGCACAAGGAAAAGCAGAACAGGTAACTTATCCCCCGGCCAGAAAAATGGGGCCAATTCACTGATTGATTTGATCGCGCGATAACGAAGCCTCTTACCATGCCCTCGTCTGCACCCCTTCCTCCCACCAATCCCATCCCAGATAATCCACAACCCACTCCATCCCCCTCCTCCCCATCCCCGTCCTTTCTCTCGCCTCCACCCTCACCTTCACCGCCCCAATCCCCAGGAGAAGGCCCCCCGGAAATCCCGCAACAGCAATTACCTCTGGCACCCCAGAGACAGCGGGGCCCACTATCCTATCCTCGCTCAGGTCACAGGGGGCGCCACCGTCGAACACGTAGAGGCTCAACCGCCATTCTTGGGGCTGTTGCCCTCGACCACCCCAACATCCCCATGTCTTCAAGCCCCCAACATAAAGACTCGCCCCAGGACTGCACCACCGTACCCGGTGGCCTTCCTCGCGGTAGGCCGTCCCATCTCTTCGCTCACCCAAACCTCAGTAACACCTCGATCGAGAGTTCGGCATTGCTCGACCATCGAGAGCAGCAGTCCATGAGACCGCGACGATCGAGCGCACAATACTCATCAGCTCCAGCCTTCTCGGGAAGCAGGTTGCGTGTGCCGGCCGGCCCTTCAGACATGTCCACTGCATCGGGGCCATCGGGCTCCTCTCGTCGCTTCAATTCCCGCGGGCTCTCGTGGGAGGGGGAGAGCGAGGACGGAGGGGACGAGGAGGACGCTCCTCTGTTGGGATCCTCTGTGAGGTCGGCACAGGGGGCAGATACCGACCCGCCGGTGTTCTCGGGAAAGAGTACGCGATCCAGGCCATCTACTTCGGGGTCCGTCGCCCCCCCGCCTGGTCGACGTTCCGCAAATTTGCAACCGCCATTGGCCGGGGCCCCCAGGGACTACGGAGGCGTGAATTTCCCACCTTCTGTTCCGGGGAGCCCTGGAATGGGTCCTATGTTGGGGATGATGGGCGCCGGGGATTATACTGATGGGTTAGGGATGCCGGGGAGGTCTTTGCGGGAGGGTGATGCGATAATTGATATTACAGGGGACGCGACCAACGAGCGTGGGTACCCGGATTCTGTGTGCCATACACCCCCTCAGGAGTTTGTCCCGGGGCATAGACAGGCTACGGCTGAAGCGGATGTCTGCTTTCCCGTGGACGATGGGCTTACGGATGATGAGGTTGCGACTTTGCATGGTGGGAGCGTGCGTGCTGCTAGACGGCGAGTGCGCGAGTGGCCGGATCTCTCGGTATTGGAGGAGTGGAGCCGGGATGAGAAGGAGGAGAGGAGTGAAGGGATTAGAGCGAAGAAGACTGCTGAGCCTGTATATGTTGGTGGGAGATTACGTGCGCCTAGGAAGACTGGCTGGCATAGGGAGGTGGAGGACGAGCCGTATAGATTCACTTATTTCAACGATGAATTGCCGGCAACTATTCATTCGCATACAATTTCAGAGTTACTACAGCCCGGCCAAACTTTTAGAGATCTGTTCCGTCCCGAACCTAGGGTTCTAGATGATAGCTCGGAAGGTGAAGACGACGAACACCCGGAATCGGAGATGATGGAAAGCCGCAATGGCAATGGGCGAGCTGCCGGGAGTGGCACCGCCGCCCGCGCTTCCCCACAGGGTGCCCCTCGCCCAGTCCGCATTGGGCCCCGGCCAACCTTCTGGCTAGACGTTATGAACCCCACCGACGCCGAGATGAAGGTGTTCATTCGAGCCTTCGGGATTCACCCGCTGACCTCGGAAGATATAATGATGCAAGAGACGCGCGAAAAGGTAGAGTTATTCCGTAGCTACTACCTGGTCTCTTATCGCACCTTCGAGCAAGACACCAACAGCGAGGAGTATCTCGAGCCCGTAAACATCTACTTTGTCGTCTTCCGGGAAGGGGTAATAAGTTTCCACTTCTCGCTCACCCCTCATCCGGCAAACGTCCGGAGGCGCATTCGGCAATTGAAAGACTATATCACCGTGTCAGCGGACTGGATCTCGTATGCGCTTATCGACGATATCACCGACGCCTTCGCTCCATTGATTCAAGCTTTGGAAGAAGAGGTTGACGAGATTGACGATGCCATCTTGCAGATGCACCTCACATCTGGTTCGGATGGCACTTCGGATAAGAAGAGCAACGCGGCCAGTAGTGCCTCTGACGGAGCAGAACAGAAGAGCGACGGAGATATGTTGAAGCGTGTCGGCGGTACACGGAAGAAGGTTATGGGATTGTACAGACTTTTGGGAAACAAAGCCGATGTCATTAAGGGGTTTGCGAAGAGATGTAATGAACAGTGGGAAGTGGCACCTAGGAGTGAGATTGGGCTCTACCTGGGTGACATTCAAGGTGTTTCCTGTCCTCCCCCGTGCTATGAATAGGCGGAATCGGATGAGCTGACTGAGCGGGGAGACCACATTGTAACGATGGTTGGTAACCTGAACCACATGGAGAAGATCCTATCAAGGTCGCATTCGAATTACCTTGCACAGATCAACATCAAGAGTATGCTTTCCACTTTCTCCCCTCCCTTCCTGCATTTCAGCCGCTAACAGTCCCCTAAGTGAATGAACGTCAAGAACAGACGGCGGACGTCCTCGGCCGCCTCACAGTCCTGGGAACTATCGTCCTACCAATGAACATCATAACCGGCCTCTGGGGCATGAACGTCCTGGTCCCCGGTCAAGAAATTGTCAACCTGAATTGGTTCTGGTGCATTACGGCGGGCCTGCTCGTGTTTGGGTTTCTGTGCTATTTTGTTGCTAAGAGGGTTTATAAAATCATGTAGTGCCTTCTTCAGGCATCGGCTGGGGAAGGCGGGAGTGGAGGAATACAATGACTTGTCCGGTCCCTTTTTTTTTGACCCCTTTTGTCTAAGTTTTTGTTTCTTGTTCATCGAAAAGAATTTTTTTTTCTTTTTTTCCTTCTATCACTTCATCTCTTCATCTTTCATTGAGTAAAGGGTGTTTTGGGGATATACATAGAGCATGTGTGGAATTTCAACTATTATTATTCTCAGTTATTTTATTTTCACAAGTTATATTTTATTTTGGCGTGGTGTACTTATAGATAGCATCGGACCAAGGAGTGTCAGGAGTCACCGTCGTATGATAGTAAGTTAGGCGCGGGGCAACGGTAGTAGGGGTATAGCAAATTACGGTACGGTACCTACACATCTGAGTGTGGACCGCCTTTGAGGATTCCTCTCGAGTTAGTAAATGTGTGCGAGTGTAGGAGGGAGGAGGAGGGGGAGTTCAATCCGCCGCCATAAATTGGAAATCAAACTCACGGGGATCGTTATCAAGCGATACGGCAGTATCATTGGCGTGATACAGTGTCCCATTCGACGGCCATGAGCAAGGCTCACCCCGCCGGATCGCTCAATTGATCCATCATCCAGCATCGTGTATCATACGGTACTTGTACCTGCTAGGGGTTGGCCCAGTCCGAGAAGAAGGCGCGGTCTCGGGTACGATATTAGGCCCCCGTTTTATGAGCTGGTCTGGTGTGATGATGGATATATCTACTCTACCTTCCTCTTTCCTCTTCGCTCGCACCTCTCTCTCTCTCTCTCTCTCTTTCTCCACTGTTGGAAGAGCAGCGCGCGAGTCGAGAGAGGACAGTGCAGGCAAGGACATATATAAATAGTGCATGAGGAGTAGTTCTAGGGTCAAGAGATTGAAGGTTTTCTCGCATTGCTTTTGTAATACGTGTCCCACATTGCGGTACTTACACCCGTAAACGAGTAGCCCAATATTCTATGCTGAACATATCATACTTCCGTTACGGTGGAGCGATGTGTATCCTACAGTTGCTGTTGTATGGAACGAGTATGTTGGTATCATTCTTGTATATGTGATGGTTGGAATTGGTATGGGAATGCTGTTGTTGTGAAGGGTGGAATTTGAAGAATGTTAATCAGCATTCAAGGCAGGAATGGGAATGGGAGGCGGGATTCTTGCAATCTGGAAGGCTGTGCTGGACTAGGAGATTTGTATTTATTGTCTGTTATGGCTGTCGCTCTAAGCTGTAGTGAATTGAGTCGATATAAGGGTTTATTCTGGTTTTCAGGTTATGAGCCCGGTGCTCTACTATACTGTTAACATGTCTGATACTATAACGCTCCTACACTTTACTACTTTACTACCTTGCTACTTTCTCATCTACTGTATTATCTTCAAGTCCTACCTCTTTCCTCTTTCAATGTCACAAGAAACCTATTCAGTTACATTTAACTATTCTGATTACTGCTTGACTGTTTTCAACCCTCTCACAAAATCAACTGTGGCTTATACTGGAAATACTGCCATTTATCACTGCAAGTATGGTGAAACAAGCAAGTTAACCCACTACAATTATTCTCATTGAAAATGTGATATTAAGTTCTTTTTGCAAGCTGATACTGCTCTGGGTATTATGTTTGGGGATGAGGTTCATCCTGGTGGTTGTAGCACTGGTGGAATAGACTTTGAGCATCATTCTGGTAAGGCAGCTGCAATTCTTAATGCTTTATACCATAGTTCAGTTAAGACTTATATTAATGGGATGAGAGATTCTCATTTAATGTGGGAAGAACTAAAGACAAAATTAGATATATAGAATATACAGGCTGGTCATACAGCAATACTTTACCATTTCAATCAAATGCGACCTATGTTAACCTCTGGCTCCACAATTGTAGAGTACATAACAAGGCTTCTCAATTGTCGATAAGAGCTAGAGGGGTTTGAGCAAGTGATTCAGAATGAGACCTTTATTACCTACCTTATTATGACCTTACCATCTGAGTGTAACTTGATCATTGATATCATTACCTATCAGCCTATCAAGCAGCAGACTGTGGACTACATGATCACTACCCTAGTTGAATGGGAGACCTCTGTATGCAACAGAAAGCAAGAAGTAGGATTCAATGCAACTATAGAAAGCACTATGGTTTCTGAGAATGTATTACATGTGGGTAGACAGTAAGGACGCTTTCTGCAGTAGGGGTCATGGTCAGGACCAGGTTATCATGGATGGCATTGACAAGGAAGACAGTTTTGGCCCAATCATCCAACACCACATATGACCTCTTCAAATACTGAGCCTGTTACCTGTTGGATTTATAATAAGAAGAGTTATCAACACGCGAACTGCTTCACAACAAGACACGTGGATAGACTTTATAGCGATTTCCAGCATCCGTCTTCCAGTAAGCAATATGCACCCAACATGCCTGATGAGTCCACCTTTGCCCCTGTTAAGGTGTTGATGACCAAAGCAGTATCCAGAAGATCCTTTACCTCTATGTCAATTTGGTTAATTGACTCCAGTACATCTAATCATATGTGTTCTGATATCTGATTCTTTTCTACCCTCAAGTGACTACTGAAACCTATCCGGATCTCATTGGGTGATGGGTCTGAGGTTTAGGCTTTCTCCTCTGGCCAAATTTCTCTCCATCTCTCTACACTTACAGTCTATATTCATGCCCTTTTGATACCTTCTCTTACCTATAACCTACTTTCTGTCAGTCAACTTGCTCTTGGTTCAGGGTACTCAGTCTTTTTTGAAGGCCAGCATTGTTACTTGGCAAGTGGCTGTAGTAAAAGAAAAGAGCTCTATCTTCTGGGAACATTACCCAATAGCCTCTTCCAGTTGTATCTTATGCAACAGAAATGAGCTAGTTAGAGGTCTGAATCAATTGCAATCAATACCCTACTTCTCGCTAAACTTCTACTTCAGCTTTGGCATGAGAGACTTGGTCATCTCAATGTTGATTCCATTAAGGTGCTGGTTTCTCTGGAGTTGTATAACATCTCTGAAACAATGTTACAAGTTTGTGATATCTGCATGAAAGTAAAGCTGCAGTGGCAGATTGAAAGAACTTCGGTCCAGCGAACAACAAAGCTGTTCCAACTCACACACTCTGATCTGTGTTGCTCAATCCTACCAGAGTCAATTTCTGACTTTCGCTACTTTGTTGTCTATATTGATAATTATTCTCATTCTGTCTGAGTCTATTTCTTAAGATCTAAATCTGCGATAGAAGTAGTTTCAGTGTTTCAAGAGTTTAAAGCTTCTTTGAAAAAGAAGTATCCAGAGTGGCCAATCACAAGATTTGGGTGTGATAATGGCTGTGGTGAGTACGATAATAGCTTTCTTTAGGGTATCTTATGGGTGTCTAGGATTTCATTTAAGCCTTCTCCATCCTATACTCAACACAAGAATAGTGTTAGTAAGTATATAATAAGAATGCTGGTTACCAAAGCAGTGGCATAGGTGATGTTACGGGATTCAAGGCTTACCAACTCTTTTCGGGCTAAGGCGATTAACACTGCGACCTATCTCCATGATCATTCTCCATCCTGTCCACTTGATAACAAAACCTCCTACGAGGTACTCCACAAGAGGAAACCTGAAATTGGACATTTTTGGCAGTTTGGCTGTATTGTCTACAAAGCTGATACCAGAGGAATGGCATACTGGAAAGTTTTTTGAATGAGTACGACAGTGTGTTTTTCTAGGTTATGTTCATAACATATAGTATATATGGCACCTTTGGGATCCAAAGGGTAAGCACATTATTCAGGAATCAGATATTTGCTTTAATGAGACTCGCATCTTACGAGACTTTATACAGGACAATTTTGACTCTGAGATAAGTATATTTAGGTCTCTAATTTTAGAAGCTTCTGCTAACTTAACTGGAGTTGACCAGAAGTGTTCACCTTTGTTGATTCAAGCAGACCATCAATCACTTGTGCTCGAGAATGAAACAGATTTCTAATCCCTGCATAGATTTGAGAACCTAAAGCCAGTATCACAAACTATGTTGAACCTTTCAGCAATGCTTATGTTAAAGAATCTGATAGCTCAGAATAACCTACTTAGCTACTGAGAAGCCTTGAATCAGTCATGTTTGGAAAGCTGGAAGCAAGCAATGCATGACAAGTTTGCTTCTTTACTACATAATAAGACATGGATTTACGTGGATTGTGTACTAGATGAGTACAAGATTATTGGATGCTGCTGGGTCTTTTGAAAGAAAATTAATTCAGATAGAAGTTTATACTTCTAGGGCTGATTGGTCATTAAGAGTTACAAGCAGGTTCCTGGTATTGACTTTGGGGATACCTTTGCACCTGTTGTGAAGCTTGAGAGCCTGTGGTTGGTTTTAGGTCATGCAGTTCTACATAGGTGGGAGGTCCACCATATGGATGTTGTAATAGCATTCTTGAATCTGCAGATTGATAACCCAGTTTTTATAGAGATACTAGAGGGTAGACTGGTTGGAAAAGCTTTCAAAAAGTACTAAAGCTTGTCAGCTTCAAAAGGTATTATATGGGTTAAAGCAGGCCCCACAACTTTGGTATCAACACATCTATTAGTTTCTTCTCTCTGTTGGCTTTGAGTAGTCAATGAATGACCTAAACCTGTACCTTTGGTACACGAAACCTCCAAAATTCAAAGCCCCTGATCTGATTTTCCTTTACATTGATGACTTATTGATTAGTGCTCAAAGTTCTCAATCAATAGTTGATGTAAAAACACTACTTTGCTAGCAATATTAGATGAACAACTTGGGTCCTGTCCAACAGTTTCCTGGTCTTGCAATCTTTCGTTCTTCCAAGAATATAATCTATTTACTTCAAGGACAATTTATTTCAACTGTTTTAAAGCAGTTTGGTATGGATGGTAGTAATGATATTTATATATCTACGGAGTCAGAATAAAAGCTTATATTGTCTCTTAATACTGATGATCTGGTAGATCAGCATGAGTATCAGTTCTTAATTGGTAGTTTAATGTATTTGGTTGTAGGAACAAGATGGATATTATATTTGTAGTACCAACACTCAGTAAATTCAGTTTTATATCTAATAAATCACACTATGCTGTGGCCAAATGCCTCCTCTGATACCTACAACATACAAAGACTTTATCCTTAGTTTTCCAGCCTATTGGGAGTACTATTGCTATCAATCGCTATTTTACCAGTTCTGAATGCTCAGGATGTCTGAAGCAGAAATATAATCTCTATGGATTTTTGGACTTTGACTTTGCTGATGATACCAGTGACTGACAATCAACCAGTAGCTAAATATTCCTCCTTGCTCGTAGACTTACAACTTGGAGGGCAAACAAGCAAAAGCTTGTTTCTTTGTCTACTATGGAAGCTGAGTACATTGGTTACTTTAATACTGTCCATAAGAGAATTTGGTCAAACTGGCTTTATCATAAAATTACTGGTGATGTTTCTCCTCAACCTCTACCTATATTTTGTGATAATCAAGGGGCAACAGAGATTACTAAAAATTCTAAGTTC